TACCAGTACCAGCTGGGCACGGCCCCGGCCCAGGGCAGGCGGAGCTAAGAGTCTGTGGGGCTGTGGGCGGCGGCTGCGGCTGCAGTGACAGGGCCGGGCCTCAGCTTCTCACAAAGGAGTCTTCCGAAGGCGACTGGGACCCGGGGCCGGCTTTCTCGGTCTCCATGTCCCGGTACTCGGTGCCTGAGGGGGAGGAAGAGCCAGAGAAGAGAGGTCGGTCTTTTCCGGTTCTCCTACTTGGAAATATATCTGTTCACTGATGTCAGAGAGGAAGGGAGAGGGAGAGGGAAACATCTGCGCTGAGAGAGAATCACGGATCAGCTGCCTCCTGCACGGCCCTCACTGGGGATCGAGCCTGCAACCCGGGCCTGTGCCCTGACCGGGAATGGAACCCTGACCTCCTGGTTCCTAGGTCGACGCTCAACCACTGAGCCACACCGGCCGGGCTCCTACTGTGTGAGGCTTACACACCAGCCCGTGGCTTTCCAGGGACGGACAAGACGGAAGCCGTGGCAGTGAAAGGCTGGGCTTTGCTCTGTGTGACCCCAAGGACACAGGGGCCGAGCCCGGAGACCTCTCTGAGCGTGTTCACCTGCGTAGCGGTGCCCACGGGGGAGGGAGAGATACCCAGTCAGGGACGCATCCTCCTCTCACGTGAATCGGCAGCGACGGGCCTTGAATGGTGTCACTGTCATCGCCATGGAAGGGGCGGCCGGGGCCTAAGAAGACACCGCGCCCCCTGCGGGCTCTCCTGCATCCTCGGGGCCAGCAGCCACAGGCATCCACGCGGCCGAGGGACCATGTCCACCCGTGGGCCTGGCCTCCCTTACAGGGAACAGGGAACCTGCTCGCCCCCGGCTGGCTTACAGGCTGCGTGGGGCTCACTGTGGCGGGCACAGCGGCCCCCAGACGTCCCTGCCCGTTCACTTGTCCTGCAGGCTCCGACCGGGACGCCAGGGGGCAGTGTGGATGCACCGTGGTCCTCAGGACATGGCCGCTGAGGTCTGGCCTACAGAGCAGCCCGTCCGCGGCCTCCCAGGCTCACGTTCTTACAGTCGGGGTTCTGCCCCAGGTCCTGGGGGGCAGGGAGTGGGGGGGCGGGGATGGAAGCAGGGCCGCTTGTGCGCAGAATGAATGAGGCGGAGGGTCGTCCAGTGGCGGATTCGGCCAGGGTGGGAGTGTTTTTTGAGCGTTCCAACGTTTATTGACTAAAGTTAAAAAAAAGCGTTATTATTGTAGATTCCTGTGTCCATAGGCAGCATGTTCCTGGTTTCCCCCCGGCTCTGGGCTGGCTTCTCTCCGCAAGTCTAGACTTCGGGGGGGGCGGAGAGGGGGGCGGTGTTTCCTGGTCGTGGGTGCTGCTGGTCTCATTGATGTTCCTCAGCCCCGTGCCCCCGCGTTGGTGGCCGTGTGTCCCCTGCCCAGTCACCTGTCCGCTTGCTCTGTGTCCCCACGTGATGGAGCAGAAGGCGCGGGTTCAGGAGTCGGATAGGCCTGGCGGTGACTCTTAGGGACTTTGTCACGAGCTCCGTGACCGTGGGAGCTGGGGTTCGCTGCGCCTGAGTGGGCAGGTCGCGCGGTGGGAAAGTGCCGCCTTCCTATGGGGCTGCTGCGAGGCCACCGCGGGGAGCACGGGCTCAGGGCCCTGGCACCGGGGCACCGGCTGTCCACGGCCTCGAGTCCCCAGCCCCTTCCCCGTCACATGCGGGACTGGAGTCCAGTTGATGTGCTACGTGGGCTTGTCTGGTCGGGACACTTCCTACGCGGCTCACGTCCAGCCCCTCTGTGACCGGAGTCCACAGCCAGTGTGGGCCGCTCTCTCCTCCGGGGAGCTTGTCTGCTGGGCGCCGGCCTGAGGTTTAGAAACACGGACTCTGGGGGAGGTTACGGGCGGGGCAGTCCCAGCCTGCGGGATGCTAACCCTCCAGGAAATGGGCCACGGTGTCCCAGTGGCCCCTGGTCCAAAGGACATGATCACTTCAGCATGAACTCTGAATATTTCCCTTAAGGTAATCCACCACTGAGTGTTGGCCTGAGTCCTTCATGCACACGGCGAAATGGCTAAAGACTGTTTCCAAACACCCAGCATCTGGCCATGGAGTGAGACCGGCAAGCACCGCGCCCCTGAGGTCAAGGGCGTGACCCCTGGTGACACCAGGCAGGGGAGGCCTGGGGTTTGCGTGGAGCTGGGGCCCGGCACCCAGGCCTTTCTGAGGGTGACTCCCTGCACCTCGCTGCTCAGAAGGGAGAAATCTCCCACCTCCCCTCTCGCCTGTTGGCCCCTGGGCTCTGCGGGGGAGACACAGGCCCTGAGGGGTGCACTGGGGGTCTGGGCGGGTGTGCGCCCCACAGCCCATCGGAGCAGAGATTTCCTGATCAGTCCGTCCCTGCAGGAGGGGAGGGTCCCTCCGTCTTCTCCAGGAGGAGAGCGTGGGCCTGGAGCCCGTAGACCTGGGCTGAGTCCCGTCTGCCTTGCGACCTCGAGTCCATTTGGGAAGCTTCTCAGGCCTTGCGTTCTCCTCTCACAGGCCGACGTTCCTAACAGCTCCTGACTCGGGCGCACCGCTGGGGTCCCAGGAGCTGATGCAGGTGGTGAGATGGGAAGCGCCGGATAAACGTCAGTGACTGATTCGTTTTGTTAGCGATGACCGTCTCCCGCATTATGGGGCCGATGCTTCGTGCAGGCGGGCGGGTGGGATGGGACATGCTTGTCAGGATCTCCATTCGCTCCTCCTTCTCTGGCGTCTACACTTCCCTCCCTCCCCCTTCCCGCCTCTTACAATAGGACCAGAAACCCTGGCAAGAGCGGCCACTTACCTCGCTCTCGGGAGACGGGGTCCCCGAGCTAGACCCTGGCGTCAGGAAGGTCAGAGCTGGAGGTCACCTGGCTGGGACCCTCCCCGCCACGACCTCTGCTGCCCAGGCCGCCAAGGCCCCCACAGGCTGCCTCAGGCCCCACCTGCACGGAGGTGGCTTCCCAGGAGCTGCCCAGCCCTGTCGGCACCGCCTGTGGCCGCTCCTGGGTCCCACCCCAATGCTTTCGAATGCTCTCTGGCCCCGCATGGGGCGTGGGAACTCTCTTGCTCCACACGGGCAGGCACCTCTGCTCTTTCGTCCTGGTTTCTAGACCCCCCAGGCCTGCCTGATTCTCCACATCATGAGCAGAACTCACAGCCACGATCACACAGCCCTTCCTGCCCCAGACAGACAGACCCCCGTCTTTGTATTGTTCTGTGGCTTTTGTGTTCAGGTCTGTGTGGCTCATTGAACTGTGACCTCGTAGCAGACAGGACCATGTTTGGTTTGGTTTGTTTTAAACCTTTACGTCTGGTCCAGAGCCACATTCTCATAAAGGAACAAAGGAATGTGTATGTGCTTAGGAAACTTCAACCTGGTCCTGGCCGGTTTGCTCAGTGGTTAGAGCGCCAGCCCATGGACTGCAGGGTCTCAGGTTTGATCTGGTCAAGGGCATGTACCTTGGTTGCAGGCTCGGTCCCTGGACCTGGTGGGGGGACGTGCGGGAGGCACCCAATCAATGTCTCTCTCACATTGATGTTTCTCTCCCCCCACCCCCACCCCAACTCTAAGAATCAATAGGAAGACATCCTGGGTGAGGACGTGGAGCCGCCATCCGGTGCTCAGAGTGGCGTGTCCACCTCCACGGCAGCACAGGTCTCTGAGGTGGGGGGCGTCTGCTTTTCTGAGTCCCCTGTTAGGCTTTCTGACTCGGGCCGTCGGTGCTGTGATGGCCCAGGCCTCTGAGTCACCGACCGGTGTGCGGAGCGGGACAGGGCCGTACCTTGGTTGCAGGCTTGATCCCGGCCCTGGTCAGGGTGCAGTGTGGGAGGCAACCAATAAATGTGTCAACCAATCAATGTCTCTCTCACATCGATGTCTCCCCCACCCGCCCCACTCTAAGAATCAATGGGAGAACATCCCGGATGAGGACGTGGAGCCGCCACCCGGTGCTCCGAGTGGTGTGTCAGTCTCCACAGCAGCACAGCTCTCTGAGGTGCGGGGCGTCTGCTTTTCCGAGTCCCCTGTTAGGCTCTCTGACTCAGGCCGTCGGTGCTGTGATGGTCCAGGCCTCTGAGCCACCGACCGGTGTGGGGAGCGGGACGTGGGGGTCGCTGTGCACACAGGAGATGCCCGGTGAGGCTGGGCAGCGGCCTCCGGACAGAGGGCCCTTCTCTGCTGTCCCAGCCGGAGCCCCGTCGTTCCCAGTGGGACTGGGACCAAAGGCTTCCTCGGGGCCAGTGGCTCTGAGATGTCAGCCCCGCAGCTGCTCAGAGCCCGGACTGCGCAGGGAGGGGCCAGGACCATGGACGAGAAGACACGGGCGATAGTTACGCCCCAATGAGGTCTCCAGGTGGAATTTAATGTCAGGAGCACCCTCTCCCGGGAAACCTGGATTTTCCCTGGAGTGTGACCAGGTGAGGCTGAGGGCAGGCCCTTCAGAGGGCGGTGGGCAGACTCAGAGGAGCACTGAAGCCCTACTGTGTGTCCAGTATGTGCTCTTGGCTGCTCGACATATACCTGCTTTTCCCACGCTGTCAAAATAGGTGTGTGCAGCAGGCGGAGGGGGAATCGGCGCCTGAGGCAGGGGCAGCTCTAGGCCCCTCCTGGACCCAGGGAGGTGGGGTCGGCCTGTGAACGTGTGGGGTCGGCCTGTGAACGTGTGGGCTCCCGCTCGACCAACCTCAGAAACCGTCTCTAGAGGACGCTTCGCGCTGCAAGGAGGCGAGAGCGGCGGGTGCATGGAGCGCGCACACGCCTTCCTTCCTGCTCGGAGGACAGAGCGTGACAGGGCTCCGTGGAAGCTCTGTTTTCCCTCTTTATTTGCCTGTTAGGCACGAGCAGACGCCTCGGACCCTGAGCGGGGGCCGCTGTGGCCGTCTGCAGCGACAGGCCCCAGGGGCGTCCCGGCTCCCTGGGAGGTGAGGAGCAGGGGGCAAGCGCACAGTCTGGGCTGAAGGAAGGCAGCAAGCAAGTCCTCCCCCCCACACCCCCCACTGCGTGCCAAGAGAGAGTCTTAAGAACGTGAGTACTTCCTCTGCAGGGATCATGTTGGTAAAAACGTCTGGGTCTATGGTCGGGAGTTAAAATCTGTCAGAAGGTGCAGCGAGGAGTTTCCATCCATCCCGGGCTCCGCTAGGATGCCGGGGGCGCTGGGGGCACTGGTAGCGGCAGAGGGAGGGCCCTGGCACTCGCGCTCTAGGCTGTCAGTCCCTGGCGTGTCTGTTTCTCTTGGACCCGTGGAGTCTGACCGGGAAATCTTTTCATTCGGAAATGCCCCTCGAAACCAGACAGACGGCCAAGGGCTGGGCTGGCAGAGTGTGTCCACGGCTCTTTGTAGCACAGAGAGAAGTGTGTGCTACGCTACACTAGGCTAGGCTTTCTGTTCCAGCACCTGAGGAATTAAAATTCTCAAAGGTGGCACACTGAGCCCTTTGCATTTCCATCCGGTGGTGCTAACACTGCGTCCGGAGTTGTTTTCCTTGGCTCCCATTCATTCTAAACTCGTAGGAAAAAAACCAAAATGCAAGGAGTTTTCAAAACCTTAAAAAAAAAAACAGCTCCATGAAATGCCAGGTCACGGGCTTCTGTGTGCGCCGCGTGTGGGCAGCCGGTGGTACCTGAGGGGGCGGCAACCCACCAGCAGCACGTTTCCCAGACAAAACTCCCAGCTGCACAGCGTGGTCTTAGGGCCTCCGGAGTGACAGCCTGCATAGGGTGTCCCCCCAAAATGCATGCACATGGCAGCAGCTGGCAGCGCAGTGTGAACAGGAAATGCACTTTAACCAGCACTGCCTTGGTGATCACTTGTGAGCCACATTAGATTTTATGAATTAGCTGGAGAACAACCCAACCTCTTGCTGGTTACACATCAATGAGTGAACCAGGACAGGCAGACATGCTCCAGGGGAAAAGGCCGTTTCGAAGCATCCTGCCCCAGACAGCTGGCCCCGGAGACACCACACCCCGCACCCAGGCAGTGGACCCCGCACCCCACACCAGCTCTCTTGGCCTGGGCTGCCCCTCAAGCCGCCCCCTACACGGTGCTTGTTAAAAAATGGGCACAACACCCTTTCCTCCCCAATGCTTTCATTCATCTTTTATTTTTTCCTTCTGTGTGACGGCAACTGTGTACCTGAGGCAGAAAAGCAAAGCGAGCAACCAACCTTTGAGGTCCTTGCCAGGGTCAAGGTCAGCCTGGACAAAGGTCACCGAGGAAGGAGGACAGGTCAGTAACCTGGGCTGTGCGTGTGCGTGCGCTGACACAGCTCTGTCCCGACAGCTCTGGGAACGGCCCCCGAAGGCCGTCTCCTGCTGCAAGAGGTTTTCCCATGGCTTTTACCCAGACGGCGACAGGGCCGCTGTGAGCTGTTCGAGGTTGTCAGCTCACACGCACGCACACACGCCTCTTGGTTCAAGGGCGACCCTGAGACCAGTGCGCTGGACGTGCAGGAGCGTCCAGGAGCCTGTGGGCTTATTCATGACCACACTCCCCAGAGGACGGGCCCACACCCACGCGTGTCTCCTCCACGAGCGCCTCGTGGGACATGGAGCGCACACACAGCGGCCTCTGTGACAGGCGTCACGGAACCGGGGAGAGCGGGAGGCGGATCTGCAGCTCATCGCACGTCCCCCCCTTTGTCTCCCATGTGGCTCCTCCAGAGGCGCCACAGCCACGCTCTCCTCAAGCACTTTTTTCTACTTGTCCCCATTGGATAGCCTTGGTTTTGCACAATGTCCGAATGAGGATAAAATGATAAAAAATTACAATAGATTCATCTCACCCCTTGAACCACATTGTATTTTTGGTGCATTAAAAAAGGGAGATAGTGAAAGCCACCAGCGTAGGAAATCCGGCCCAAGAACTGTGTCAGTGACTTGAGGGTAACAGGCTCAGAGTCGTTAAAAATAGTATCAGAGGGTTATACATACAACAGTTGGAAATCCATAGGCATTGCATTATTTTTTTTAAAAAATGGCAAAATGTTTGGCAAATGTAAGCAAACGACTTGGGCTGGGTTGGGTTTCACCGGCTCCGGGAGAAGCCAGACACAACCAGTGAGGCCCTGCTTCCTGAGGTCGCTCTGTGGGGGCTGGGCCCCGCCCTGGGAGGCGCCGGGGGCAGGCGAGGTGCTGGCCCTGCGCCCGGCCCCTCGGGCCCTCGGTCGTGAACATGGAAATGGAGCTGGTGAGAGGTGCCAACTACAGACTCCAGCACGGATCACCCGTTAGCATCGCTGAGAGAGCTGGGGCCTTGAACCACATGCAGACCGGGTGAGGCGTCTACACAGTGACCCATATTGCGAAAGTTAGAGAGGGGGGGCTGCCCTCCTCCCGCCTGCAGGCCCCCCGCCCCCACGGGAGGAGGGGCCCGGGGTGTCACTAGTGCTTCTCCTGGTCATGTTGTCAACGTGTGGTTTTAGTAGACTTTCTTTAAAAGTAGTTGTCTTTTGTCTGTATGCTGTATGTGTGTTCAGGAATGTCCGTCCTTCGAGCTGGCCACACCGTTCCCTGAACTCGGCAGTGCCCGTTGCTTGCAGCTGTCAGCATCCTGAGACCCCGGCTGGGTCCCAGAGCAGGTAGGTCACGCGTCAGACACGTGGTCCCCAGCTCTCCTCATTCTGAGTGCCGTCTGGCTCTGATTTGGAGAAAAGGATAAAGTCCTGTGTGTGTGTGTGTGCGTGTGCGTGTGGTTTTTGGAAACCTTTTTTCTTTTTGTAGGAAAATGACCCTTTGATTGCTATACAGAGTTCGCCCCCTGAGTCACTATAGAACGGACTCCATGTTCTCGCACCACTCATGGTCTTCGAGGTTATAGATAAACTTTGTCCTATGCGTCTGGCTGGCGGGCACAGGGTCCCTCCCCAGATTGTCTAGGGTCAGAGTAGAGGCAAAGAACTCACTGGTGCTCAGGCCGCCCTCGTGGTTCTTGATGTAGCGTTTGTAGTTCTTCCGCAGGCACTGCCAGGTGGTGGTGTAGAGCAGGAAGGCGAAGGACTTGAGCGCGATGGCGATGCTGACGTACAGGTGGCGGTAGACCACGTTGTCGTAGAGGACGCAGGCGCCCTGCTCCCCGCAGAACGTGCTCCAGAACAGGCAAGTGGAGTCGATGCCGGCCCCGAAGATGAGAGGAGGGGGGATGAAGCCTGTGAGGGGAGAGAACATTCACTGTCTGGCTCCCAAGGCCACGGGGACGGAGCCGGGCCAGGTCACAGCTGGGGACAGAGCCAGGCCAGGTCACAGATGGGGCTCCAAGGCGCACCTGTGAGGCGGCCAAAGACCCTAGTCTGAATCCTAGCTCTGCGCTCCGCCTGCTGGTCAAACCTGGGTAAGTGGCTTCAGTCCTGAGCCTGAGATTCCTGGTCTGCACAGGAGGGGAGGAGGGGGGGGTTTGGCAACACCTGTACTGGTCACCGCAGGGGGTGGGGGTTCCCAGAGGGTCACATGTGATGTCATCCGGGAAGGGCATCCTTGCCGAGGGAAAAGCAGGGAGGCACCGAGCTGTGCGTAGGGGATCCCAGGGTGTGGGTGCTTTTCAGCGAATGAACTGGGAAGCGTAAAGGACCAGAATCTGAATATGACTCATGACAACCAAGGTGGGGGGTCTACACACACATACATAGGTCCCATGTGGCTATGTGCACACAAACATGTAACTACACTGCTGTGGGGTTGAAGACGAAAACACCAGCACATACTGCACCGTCCCCTCCCCGGAGCGCAGTGTGGCTCAATCCTTTCCT